GCTGCAAAATTGACCTTCTGTAAAACTGCACTTTAACTTGGAAAAAACACTTAAGTCTTATATGTAATAGTTTTGTGGCTGTAACGTATCTTCTGTTGTTGTTTATTGTTTACCTTCTTGACAGACAGCTGCTGTGACACTGTGACCAAAGTTCAAAGTTATGAGGGATACTCTGAGTCTGTCAGTTGTCCGTATGAGTCTCAGAACAGCCTGAAGTACATCTGCAGAGGAAACCGGCCCTCCACATGTCTGCAGCAGGCACTGATCACCTCTGACACCAAACAAAATGGGCGATTCAGACTTGATGATGACAAAATGTCAGGAACATTCACAGTGACCATTAACAGTTTGACTCGTAATGATTCAGGGTCATACCTCTGTGGTGTTCAAAGAAACTCTGAGCTGGATGTTTTCTCTGCTGTTGAGCTGGAAGTTGAAGGTAAAAAAAATCACAGTAATAGCTCTTTACACCAGCACCAAGAAGACATTATTTGCTGTCAAATAGTCTCTAAGAAACTTAAATATTTGATTATTCGAAAATAATGTTTCTCTTTCAATCTGACAGAGTGGTGCTGTGTCAACTCAACTAAAATAAATGGTACTGCAGGAAATCCACTAACTCTGCAGTGTCCCTATCCTCCACAACACTGGGATAACAGGAAGTTCCTCTGTAAGGGAGACCACCGCAACAATTGCTCAGACATGGTGACGAGTCAAAGCAGGTTCACACTGCAAGATGATGCTGCTTCCAGCTCTTTCACAGTGAAGGTCACAGAACTGGAAGCAGCTGATGCTGGGACATACTGGTGTGGGTCAGACTCACAGTGGAGAGTTGGAAACTACACCAAGATTGAGCTGTCAGGTATGCTGGACACTTTTGTATAAGATAATACAATTTAAGCCACGTGTTTGTTTTATGTCAGTTCATGTTTTAGGTCAGTTCAGCTATCTGAAGAGTGCAGTAAAACTAAAACTGTCAATATGATGTTTACATTCACCACAAAAAATAGCGGCACAAAAAATAGAACTACTGAGAGCCTCACTTACCACAAGTGGTCTGAGGCTACAAAAATATTTTTGTCCTTCTAAGCAGTCATATTCTAACTTCCACTATACAATCAATCCTCGCAATTGTAATAAAACTTAGTTGTAACAACCCCATATATGGCTTCAAATCTGAACACTTTGCATATTTAAGTGAAAACGCTACATCCAGATGAACAGAATCAACTTTTGGAGATTTACTTTCCTGGATGATTGAGAATGCATCAAGACGATCTAACTGTATTCTATTACAGTTACCATTTAAATGGATGGTAATCAGAATACAGTTACTTTGTTGAAATAAATAGAATACACGGCAGTCATTTCCTGTGTCATATGTTAGGCTAGCCCCTCTCTATGCCTTCTCCAAATTTGGTGACTAAATGCAGTCGGGGGTAGGTTTAACTCAGTTGGCTAAGCATGTAGTCATACATTGCATGGCTGAGAACAGGCGGCCTGGGTTTGAGTACGACCCACGCCTCTTTTCTTTTTAAACATTTAAGCTCAATTTCCAACAGGGATTAATACAGTTTCTCTGATTCGGATTGCTGGAAACCCAAACAAAATACCCAATAAGAGGCTCTAAATTAAGCATCCTGTTAATGTTGGTGGTGTAAGTTACACAATGGGCCCAGAGCCAGCAGTGCATGGGCGGGAATGCATTTCCAACACCACTACATAAGAAGAATGGGATGGGCAAAACTTCAGTACCGTCGATGTGCTATGCTGTGTGATTTTTATTGCTATTAATGAAGGATACTCGCCACCAAGCTAACATTGTTAGCTGAGGTTAGTTCATAGACTGCAGACTGTTAGGAAGCTTCTCAAAGTTAAGCACTTTGGCAAAATTCGCTGTTTCTGTCACGGTTTGTGGGGCAAGCTGTGTTGAGGTATGAATGAAGGACCCAAAGTGCAGGCACTGGCTGAGATGTGAGTGAGTTTTATTTAAGGAGACTGACATACAACCAAAAGCAAGGGCGCGAGAAAGAGAACTAAGAAATAATCTAAACTGGGAAAGCTAAGAACTAAACAACAAACCTCAATACGAGGGTATGGAGAGCAGAGGTAACACGAAGAACGACAAGGAGGGAGAACAGCATGGAGGGACACAGAGTGACTCAGGGAAACAACACAGATGGACCAGAAACAAGCACAAGAGGACACACACTATAAATACACGTGGGGAAACAAGGAAACTGCACAAAGGAGGGAGACACAGCTGAACCTAATTGACATGACGAGACAGGAAGGACGCAAACTAAATACACTGACACCAAATAAGGGCCTTCAAAGTAAAACAGGAAACATACACTGACAGAACTCAGAGACATGAAACCATGACAGTTTCATAATGTCTAATAAGCTTCATACAGTTAAGCACAATCACTACATGACAGAAACACAATCTAATCTCTCTTAAATCAGGTTCGATCCTTGGCTGCATGCCAAATATCCTTGGGCAAGATACTGAACCCCAAGTTGCTCTCCGATGCATGCATTGGAGTGTGAATGTGTGCTGGTATTAAATAGAAAGCATTTAATCATAGAAAACAGTGCTGGTGTGAATGGGTGAGTAGAAAAGGCCAACGCCTCCTTACCCAGACAATATGGAACAGACTGCACACAGCCAGTATCTCGTCTCATAGTGTTGTTTGCGCTGGTGGCAGCAAAATGTGCACTTGAACCTTAACATGTGGAGGAACATCATCTTCATCAATCAGTGCGGATTCTGCTTTCAGGACTCGGATCATATGGTTAAGCTATGGAGAAGATATAGAGAACATTATAGTAATTGCTGCACCCTTAGGGTAAAAGGTTTTGATGGAGGCAGTGTGATGGTGTGTGGAGACTTCTGTCATCATTGGAGGAGAATATAATCCACATGCTATAACTTGTTTTGACTAGCCACATATTAAAGACAGTAAAGCATTCTTTTTATATAAAAGAATATATAACATTTGTTTTGTTGAAATTATTTTATCAGTAAGTCATATCTGATGAAATGTCATCTTTTACTAGCCATTCTGTTAAAAAAATAGAAAAAACAAAGTCTGTCTTGAAATGAATGTGGTAACAACACTAAGAATCTTCTTCTCTTACAGTCTTTTTGCAGCACACCAGAAAAATCCCAGGTAAAGCTATTATAGAAAATATAAACTGCATATGTGTTTCTGTTAGTGTGCACACCAGCTGAGAAATGTTGTGAGAACAAGTACCTTTTCACATTTAAGGTTAACAATTGGTTTTGTTTATGGTTATGGTTTCATGGTTACAGCACATGAAGTAAGTCTATGTCAAACCAATATGTTAAAACATCTGTGAGTTTGTGTTATGTTAAAATACACATAACTATTAACGAAAAGAAAAGTGAACATGAAAGCATAGTGAAGGGCCACATTTCTGCTCCTAAGTTATTATCGTATTTTTCGGACCATAAGGCACACCGGATTATAACAAGTCAGATAAGTCAAACTTTACTCAACTCATTTTTTGTACTTTCTCGGTAAAGCAGCAACACTGCTTTACTTCTTCTTTATTAAAGAAGAAAGAATTTAGACAGATTTTGACTCTCAGTGATGCCGCAGTGTTCGTTTGACTTTTGGACCTGAAGTGGAGTTTAGTCCCGGATTACTCCGCGAAGCTCCTAACTACGGTGTCCGTAAAGTTCAGACAATCCATCAAGTGGTGCGGCTTCGTAGCTTACGAAAGTCGTACTACAACATTTTTTGACAGATTTTTGAGCGCTGTGTACCACATAAAATTGGTTCAAGGTCAGTAAGCACAACCAAAATTCATACATAAAGCGCACCAGATTATTAAGCGATTTTTGAGAAAATTAAAGGATTTTAAGTGCGCCTTACAGCCTGAAGAATATGGTAAGTGTTTTGGAAAGTGTTTCTTTTTATTGTCTTCTCTTTTGGTTTCTGTTTTTCAGATGCAGCACTCTATGTGGTTTACACTGTACCTCCTGTCCTGCTACTGATGTGTCTCCTAGTTACGATTTATAAGAACAGATGCTCAAGAGTTAATGGTATCTTTTACAGTCATGTACACATGGACATGCTTGCACTCAAATATAGATGCAAATATAGATGCAAATGAAGTACAACCACTATGTATACTATGTATTTTCAGAAGCCGATGACACCATGAGCAGAAATACACCCAAGGAAAAAAA